AATTGTTTCAGATGTATTTATCTTCAAAAACTGTCAGTTCCTCCAATGAAATTGTGACTTGTTCACTTGTTTTTCAACTCTCCATCTCCCATACCCCTATGCGCTCTTTTCATTCACTTTACATTTTGAAAAATACCGGTAACTCGTCTTTTTCCTGCTCCCCAGTCCAGGCACCTGCTAGCCTTCTGTGTGGTTGAGGAACAACCTCTCCTGAAAATCCTGACTCTAGCCTATTCCTTCTTCCACCTTCTGCTTTCATCAACATTTACCTATTCATTGTCATTTTTGCAGTTATATAATAATCTAGCTCATGCTTAAGTGTTAGTGACAAATAACATGTCTTTCTCTCAGTTAACATTTGAATCATCACGGAGTTTCATTATTTTAATAAAATGGAGTATATCATGAGTGATTCTTATAATTTGGCAAAGGTTGTGGGAGGGTTTTTTTTTCCCAGTAGCTGACCTTCTTTTGTCTCTAAAGTCATTTTATATGAGTTGCATATATTAATAATTAAACTTGAATTAAGTTGAATGACAAGACAAAGAGTTGTCTGAGATGACGATATATAGACTACTTGATTCCAAAAGTAAATATATTTGAGTCAGGAATGGCAACAAAGCATTGTTATTACATGACATCTTCTGATAGTCAAATAAGAGTGGGCCTTTGAACGCACACAAAAGATTTAAACAGCAGTTTCATTTCTTATGACAGGAATGAGAGCTAGGAGAATTTTCCCCCTGAGAAAATCGTGATGCTTGAGAATTAAAAGTTCACCCTTTGCATACAAACTATATTTAAGAGAGATTAATACAGTGCAGCTAGTGGCTTCTATATGATATTAATGGTATTATTATGGTAGAGAAAACAGAATAAAATACCACATTTATATTGGAAGGCTTTCCTTGTGATTTTCCTTTGTAACATTCACTAAGACAAGTGGGAATCATAAGATTACTTTAGTAATCTGGAATTCAAACCCAAACACCTTTCTGAGCATTCTCTATGTGTGTTTCAGCAAATAGGGTATTACATTAATTTCTCATAAAACATACAATGTAATTGAAAAAAAAAAAAAGACACATACTAGGAATTGGATTTGCAGGTCCTTGTTCACCATCTCACTTAGGGAGACAATCTGTTCATGAGAACATGGCCTTCATCACAAAACAGCTTACACAATATTATAGTCAGTGAACCACAAGATGGCACCACCGAACAATTAGTTTATCTCAAGATGACTTCTAGGTTCTCTAGATGCTCAAGAATAGTATTATTATCCCTCTTCACAATCAACATCAGTCATTTCTAATAAATAGAGTATGAAATGGAAAAAGAGTCACTTTGCATGAGGAAAACTGACATATTTCCTTAGTCAAGTAATCAAGGTTATCATTCCAGGTGATCAGTCTTGATTTTACCATGTCACCTCCCCTGATATGATGTCATGAGAAGGGCACTTCAGCTCTGTGGTGTTCTTTCCCTAAGCCTGCAACCTCAGTGTAAACATGAGAAAACATCAGACAAACCCAAAGTAAGGGACATTCTACAAAATACCAGATCAATACTGTTGAAGAATGTCAAGTTCATGAAAAACAGGGAAGAAGACCTAGAAACTGTCACAGAATTGAAGAGTCTACAAAAACATAACAACTAAAATGGAATATCAGATCCCAGTTGGGAAAAAGACATTACAGCACAAACTGGAGAAATCCAAATTAAGATGATAATGTAGTTAAGAGTATTGTACCAATATCAATTTCTTATTTCTGACAATTACTATGTTCATAGATGTTAACATTGAAGAAACTGGGTAAAGGCTATACAGCAGCCCTCTGTACTAACTTGAAACTATTCTCTAATTCTAAAATTATTTCAAAATAAAAATTTTCTAAGTGAAGTTACAGGGAGAACTCTAAAATACTGGCTTAACAGGCAGCAATTTTCCATTGATAAATCTGGATATACTAATAAACTTACATGAAAACTTGTGTAATGATTAGACATATTAACCCAGTACATGGTTCTAAAACCTAGGGTATTATTCCTTTATAGAGATAGTGAACACACACAGACGCACACAGATGTTCACACACACACACACACACACACACACTCATACACACTGAAGTTGCTTCCATGTTTGGCTATTATAAATAATTCTGTTATATAATGCTTAATTCTTTGGCAATAGCTAGAGTTAAGTTGAGGTGCCAGTGTTTCTAAAGTTACTATATTTCCTGGAAAGTCTCCGGATCCATTTCTGACACATGGCCCCTTTTATAAACAGTGGCTTGCTCATTAAGATGGAGGTAACCTGAAATATATGGGATTAAATTTTATCAGTGGGGGAAAACGGAGGAATGCTGTATGTAACACATAACATTGATGTTAATAGTAGAGTAGGATTTTTGTTTTGAGCTTCTTTGATCAGTTGACTATTTTGATGAGTAAACATGGGAATCATCTGAAAACATAGCTCAGAGTCTGTGCTTCATGAAACAGATTTGACAGCAAACAAGCAATCTATTTAAGCATCTTTTTCTGAAATCAAGGAACCACAGTTTTTTCCATATTTGCTGACTTGAAAGGTTAACCAAGGTATCAACACGACTGTCTGGACATAGCACGCTCATTTGATTATTCCAAGTAAAACAGAGCTGCTGTCTTTCTCGTGAGAACTGTGACCAGTAACAATCCTGTGATTTGATTTCCCCTGTAGTTGTTTCCTATAGCTGTAGTAACAAATCCATAAATTAGGGTGGATTAAAATAACAGAAATTTATTATCTTATAGTTCTGGAAGCTAGAATTCTCAGGGCCTTTTTATCTCTGAAGATTCTAGGATGAATCTTTACCTCTTTCTAGTTTTTGGTAATTGCTAGAAATCCTTGGCATTTCTTGGATTGTAGCTGTATCACTCCAGTTTCTTCCTATCTTCACATGGCCATCTTGCCTTTGTATATCTGTGTCTCTATGTGCAAATTGTCCTCCCCTTTCTCTTACAAAGACACCAATAATTGTTCACAATAATCTAATATGTATTGTTGAACTGATTATATCTGCAAGATCCTGTTTTCAAAGGTCACATACTAAGGTAATGGGTAAACCTGATTTTTGGGAGACATTGTTTAATCTAGAACTGTCCAAGAATCAAACCATCTGCTAGAAAAACACCAAATTAAAGCATTTTGTTTTAAGTTGAAGTCTTACTTATATCAATACCAGACTGAGATTTTTTTATATGACTATAGTTTGAAATATTTTTGATAAGATCAAATAATAAGAGCTCCAATTACAAACCTGTATGTTTACTTTTGAAAATTATAAATCAGTGGCTGTAGGGGAACAAAAATCTACCATTCCCCAAAATCTTTCTTTTTGACAAAAGTTTTATTTCATGGGAGGTTCTGAATACTTGGTAGAAGTTGCTTTTTTTAAAGATTGATTTATTTATGCATATAAGAACAGGGGTACATGCCAGATGTGCAGGAGGGTGAGAGGATTCACCAGAGACAGAGCAGGGAACAGAACAGGCAAACTGACTGAAATACACTGCTGAGGGGAGCAGCGGGAGAGACAGGAGAGGTCTGCTGTGCCATGTTGGTATCTCGCTGGCCCAGGCTGTGGACAGCTTCACATCACTGAGCTCAACTAACTGGGCCACCAGGGAGGCCCCAGTAGAGGTTGCTTTTGAAGAAGACATTTATATGTAAATTTCTCTCTATAGGGATTCTCCCGTGAAGACCCAATCTTCTTATCTCTCTTCAATGGAAAAGGCAGATCTTAAATCTGTATACCTTTGTTTACTCTGTCTTCTTTGGTAAACTCCCTAACTGATCCTCCCTTTTCTTCTCACCAACCTCCTTTGTCTTAGCTACTTCAGATGGTGTCTGAAGTCATGTGGAGAATTATTCAGTCATGAAAGTTCTCTCCCATGTACACAGGAGGTATACCTGTTATTATTAAACTTCTTTTTCTTTTTGACTTTCCTTTATGAAAAATAAGAGAATAATTATAAATCTACAACTTGTACTTGCATTTGTTTATTTTTTAAAAAAGATTTATTTTATTTATTTATGCATACAAGAGCTGGGTATAGGCCAGAGGTGCGAGGGTGGGGGCGGGTGAAAGGATTCACCAGAGACAGAGTGTGTAGCAGAACAGGTGGATTAACTGAAATATACTGCTGAGGGGAGCAGCAGGCAAGACAGGAGAGGTCTGCTGCAACATGTGGATTAGCTCCTCTGGCTGGGGATCAAATGCATGCTGCAGTGGCTACCTATAGCTTCACAGTGCTGACTTAACCCCTTTCGCCACCAGGAAAACAAGAGAATAATTATACTTGCATTTAATAGAATAAAAGAAGCTCTTATAATTCAACATGTTTTCAATAAGAAAGAATCTTTCAGAATTTCTTCCTTTCATATGTGTCTTTGGTTCATATTGAGGGCATCTTTAGTGGTTTATAGCCCATTGAAATAATTATGCATCATCCTTATGTGTGATTATGGACAATGTTGTTTAGGGTATCAAGAGGGATCCAGTAGAAAGATATGTGTGCATAGTACTACTTTATCAATTGAAAAAATGGTTAATGGAATATCTCCTTTCTCTCCATTTCCAAAATTTCACTTTTCACTTTTCATCTGGGTGCTCTGGTAACTTACAAACCTAAACTAAAGGTAACTAATAAAGCAATGCCTACAAATGTACTACTATGCCTACTATATAATACAAACATTTTAAAAAAACCTACTCTACAAACTTGTTTGCCTTTTTTTGAATGAAATAGTTTGGATTTCTTTAAAATGTTCATAATTTAATATTTCTGTGAGAACTCTACAAAATATCTCACATTTCAACTGTATAGTTCATGTTTCATAATGGGCTACAGTGTTTGACCTTATTTAATTTTAATATTTTTTACTGTGTTTTCTTCTTGATTGTGATATTATATAGCCAGCCTTTGCTTTTTATTACTGTCCTTTATTGCAGGGACTCCACGAAAAGACTGGCGCATTTACAGCTGTTAAAGTGATGAATGCTCGTAAGGTAATATTATATCCTATCTGTATTCTGTTCCCTTAATGGACTATGCTCTTGGGATGAACAGTTCTGAAAATATATTTATTTTTAGAATCATTACTATGCATCATTGTAACTATGCTAATCTGCACTCATTGTATTTATCATTTAATATTCTTTCCATTCACTAGTATAGCATATTTACTATATTACTTTTAGTATTGATTATATTTACACATAAAATGCTTTACAGTAAAAGTTCACACATTTTGGTAGTCTTTAAGAATGAAGAAGTATCTGTATCCTGTCCATTTCTACTTGATTATCTGTTTCCATGGAAGGGAAAGAGGAGATTCCTCTAATATTGTGTTAATTCTGTTGTGTCTCATCATATTATTTCCATTCTCCAAATATCCCTTTTGATAATTGAGGCCATTAGATTCTCAATGACAGGTAGAAGGAAAGAACTTGTCAGAGAGGCACATTTTTTTCATGTATTTTCTGACAGATGAGCAAGAGAGACAGTTTAATTGGCACTTTTCCTGCTAACATTCATAAAGTTATGTCATGGTTCATAACATATTGTCATAGAATTTGCTAAGCCCTGATTTCTGTCCTCTTTCTTTAGCATGAGTGACTCACTTTCTCAAGGTATTATTAGCATGAACATAGCAAAGGTCAAAAAATATTCACTTCACTATACCCTAAAGGAAAATGCTCAAATATTATGTTTGAAAAGCTATGTATATTCACTGAACTGTTGTCAATGCCATAATCTGTTCTTTTCCAATTTGTGCAGGTAATGAATTGCTGAAAGTATTTAAACATTTGCCTGCTTTTTGTTTTGCCAATAAATGTCAAATGTTACAAACTAATGTGTGTTTTAAGGGATTTTGAGGGGTTGTAGATTTATTTTTCCTTACAAACTGTAGCATCCAAATAATCAGTCTCATCATTTTTGATGAGAATTTCTAATTATTTGCTTGTTTTAACTTGAGAGACTTTGAACCACATTTAATATAAATTTTCAATATTTTGATTTTTGAAATTTTTTTAAATCATATTCAGCCCGTAGTTTCAATACCTTGTTTTGGAAGCAGAGGTAGCCCTTTACTAACATCAAATTATAAATGTACCATTAATATGGTAGTTAAACCTGTTACTGTGAACTTTGTAACAAGTTTCTGTGTATTTAAGAATCTGTTTTTTTTTTATTTGCACAGTGAAAATTGAGAGAGAAATAATATTATCATTCTTCCATTTGGTGTTAAAAGAGCACAAACTACTTAGACTACTTTCAGAGAGTACTAGTGGGTCTAATAACATTTTGTTGTTGGTTTTGCAGACCCCTTTGCCTGAAATAGGAAGGAGAGTGAGAGTGAATAAATATCAAAAGTCTGTTGGGTGGAGATACAGCGTGAGTACTCAAAGTCCTCATTAGTCCCCCACCTACTTATTTTTAAATTTCAGCTTTGAATTGATACCTTTGTGTTGTATCATGTCTTCAGAAGGCTGCCACTAATATGTTCCTGCCTGAAAGTGGTAACATATTTACATTTTTTAACATAATTATATAGATTCATTTATCATATTTGTACACTGGCATCTGTCAGAAAGCAGGGCCCATAAGATAATGGTTCCCTGAACCGGTAAGTGTTGAATATAGGTGAAGGGCTGAGTGAATTTACAGAAAGCATAGAGCACTTTGGCTGAGTGACAACAAAAGAGAATCTACGAACAAGAGCAAATTTTGCTTAAATTTGACCTTGACATTGTGTACAGGACCAACTGACATTATGATTCTAGGAATTATTGCCACTGTATATGACCCAAATGTAGTCTGCTTTTTTTTTTTATTGTAAGAACAGTAGTGGACAGAAGATCAACGATCAGCCTAAAAAATCTTTAGACAATGGCACAGTACTTGAATACATGAGGGGAGTGTGAAGGTGCTTTCTACTTGAAGCTTTTATTTATTGTTTATTGAGGTACCATTGGTTTTCAACACTACATGTGATTTAGAGGTATAGGATCACACCTCCTCAGATGCATCTCACCACACAAAACTGCCTTATAAAGCAGTCTGTATGACTCGACTAATTTGCTGGCTCTAGAATAAGATCAGGCAAACAGAATTCTTTTTTAGTAAGTGTTGGTGATCTAGATGGTGGCTTTCTAAGAAAGTACTTTGTGGGCTTAAAAGCAGAATTCCTGTTCTTACCAGTTTAATTCATTGATATATTTTTTCGTAATTTTTCTCCCCTGTGAATAACTATTTGTCATTCAATTTTTTTCAAACTTTTATGCCTTAATAATATACTCTCAGGCACCTTAAAAATAAATTTTTCTATAACCACAATCCCATTCAGAAAATCTTTATAGTTGTATTAGAAAGACATCGGTAACAGCTTTATGATTCACCTAGTAAGTACTAGGCTCCTGTTTGACTTACAATGTATCTCAGGAAACAAAGCATATCCAGGTGAAACAGGTAGCAGTGATGGCATGCACTGCTAGATCAAGAAGCTGCAAAAGGTAAGGTATGACAAATATAATTGACCAGTTCTAGTTTTATCAAGAATAATAAACTTCTTTAAAGATCTTCCCTAAACTGTCTCTGGTATTCGCTCCATTAGAAAAAAAAAAGATTTTTATTCTAGAATTAGGTAAAATGGCAAAGAAAATTTTGACATCAATGAGCTACTTCATGTTGATAAAAAGCAGGATATTCAGGCCACTCTGGGATTAACTAGCCCTGAGCCAAGAAATGCTAAAGCATCATGTTACTGGGAGATGTGTGAGAGTTTTAAATTACCCACTTGGCCTGATGGATATAATGTACTTATGTGTTCTCACAAGCTCAACTTCCTGTTAATTGAGAATGGCAAACACACTAATGCTTTCCAAACATATCTCATCTTGGTTTATTGGTTTGGGAGGAGTTTACATTTATGTGAGAAAACCACTCTTAAAGATGTTTCAAGTTGGGAACTTTGGTTATATATTTACAAAAGGTATATAACTACTAATTGATCAGCTAGCATCTCTAAATCATCTTGAATCCTTGGCATAAGCACTTGATGACTTGCACACACCTCTCTTTGACTAAGGGATGCATGGAAATAGCAATAATGTAGAAGTCCATAAACATGAATTCAAATCTCAAGTCTATTACTAACTAGCCAAGAGATATTTGGAAATGTGGTCTTATCTCTCTAGGCCTCAGGTTCCTCATAGGTAACATGGCACCAGAATATTTGACTTGCCTATAAACAGGTTTAAAAGTATGGTAAAATGCAACTAGATAGCTGCCTAGAGGACAGCCATTCTCCTATTCTTGTTTAGGAATATGAACTTTCTAACCCAGAAAGAAAAGAAAGTTCCTTGATCTCAAACTAGTAAACAACTTTTTTTCCTTTGTAACAAAAGATTTTTTTTAAACTTTTTTTTATTTTTTACATCATTGTTCATTTTTATTTTTTTTAAACTTTTTTTTAAAGATTTATTTATTTATTTATACAAGCACTGGGTACAGTCAGAAGCGCAGGAGGGTGAGAGAATTCACCAGAGCCAGAGGGGGGAAAAGAACAGGCAGACTGACAAAATACACTGCTGAGGGGAACAGTGGGCGCGGCAGGAGAGGTCTGTCATGTCATGTGGGACCCTCGTTAGTGGCTGGGTATCGAACTGGCGCTGCAGAGGCTGTGGGCAGCTTCACAGCCCAGCGCTCAACCACTACGCCACCAGGGGAGGCCCTCATTGTTCATTTTTAAACAATATTTTCTTCCCCCCACCCCCTCAGGTGTAGTCCCCATAGAGTTTCCTTCACCAGTGCACCCATGCACCATCACCTCAGTCCCCTGTGCTCCTCTCTCCCTCCCTCTAATCCCTCTCCCTCCTCCTCCCCTGCAGTAGGTCTCTGATTTATAATTGTCTGTTTTTGCTTTGCAGTGTTTTGTACTGTTATTTTTTTTTACACTGATGTCTTATTTGGTTCCCCTATATTCCTGCTATAAGTGAAACCATCTGATATTTTTCTTTTTCCTTCTGGCTTATTTCACTGAGCATAATTCCTTCTAGCTCCATCCACATTGCTGTGAATGGCATGAGTTTATCTTTTTTGATTGCTGAATAATATTCCATTGTGTATATATGCCACATCTTCTTGATCCAGTCATCTATTTTGGGGCATTTGGGTTGTTTCCAGGTTTTACCTATTGTAAATGGTGTTGCAATAAGCATAGGGGTACAGGTGTTCTTTTGAATCAATGTTTTTGTGTCCTTTGCATAGATCCCTAGTAGTAGAATTGCCGGGTCATATGGTAGCTCCACTTTTAGTAGACTAAGGAACCTCCGGTCAGCTTTCCATAGTGGTTGGACCAGTTTGCACTCCCACCAGCAATGTAGGAGAGTTCCTTTTTCACCACATCCTTGCCAACATTTGCTGTTGCTTCTTTTTTTGATATGTGCCATTCTTGCTGGTATAAGGTGGTATCTCAATGTGGTTTTGATTTGCATTTCCCTGATGATAAGGGATGTTGAACATTTTTCCATATGCCTATTGGCCATTTGCATTTCCTCTTTGGAGAAATGTCTTTTAAGTTCTTCTGCTCATTTCTTGACTGGATTGTCAAACTAGTAAACAACTTAAAGGAGTCTAGCTCTTTCTCTCTTTTACCTGTTCTTTGTGTCCTTAACTTCACACCATTGTCTTATTCCTGTATATTGCACACTTTATGATTTCATATTCCTCTGAGCAGAACCATGGTCTTACAAGAGACTGAGAGTGCCCATGTGTAATACAGAATTGGCAGTTTCTTAGCTTTATTTCTTTATCATGGCAGATAGATTTTTTCCATTTCAAAGGAGAACCACACCACAGGGGAAGCATAATGTTTAAGGGCAAGAATGAAAGCCACAAGAACCAAATTTCAGTTTTGTAGAAAACAAGCTTAGGGAATCTGAAAGGAACCTATTTTTTATTAAATTATTTATTTTCTTACATTTTGTTACTTTTTGGACAGTGTTTGATTTTTCCCCTCAGGTGTAGTCCCCATAGTTCTCCCACCACCATAGCGCCTGTGATCCATCACCACAGTCCCTTGTACTCTTCCCTCCCCTGTTTTGACCCTTCGCTCTCTCTATCCCCGGCTGTATGTCTGCTTGAAAGTTTTGTCTTTCTCTTTACCTTTTGTTTGGTTTCTCTATATTCCATATATAAGTGAAACCATCTATATTTATTATTTTCCCTCTGGCTTATATCACTTAGCATAATCCTAAAAAGGGATTTATCAACTGAACTTCCCTGGAGGCTGGGATGTGACTAGAACCTGAACTTTCATATAATTTCTCATGCTACAAATTGATTATTTTATTCAGCCATGCCTTTATTACACAATAAATAGAAAAAGGAAACCCATCATTCAGGTTTTCAACTAGAAAAATCAGGCTCCATTCCCTTCGCCCAAAGACAAATAGGTGTCTAAATTTATTTTCTGGTAGTTGAATGTTTATGGATAAATCCACCAGAAATTCCTAGGGAAATAAATGCTAAAGAATATTCTGTAACTGCCAGCCATTTACATGAGATTTCAAACTTTCCTTGAAAGATCTGTTATGTTTCTGGGTAGAACCTAATACATTGCCTTATATTTATTTCATAAGCATTTTTAAAGCCCAACAACAATATAGCCAAATAAAAAATTAATTGCCCACATTTCCTACTGGGCTTTAGAGAATAAACTAAGAAGGAAAATGATAACTGACTAGATATATTCAGGCACCTATTCATTTCAGCCAAAATATGTGTTTTCCCCTACCATCAGGTCATCAAGTCAAAGTAATTCAGAGAAATACTGAAAAGAACTAAAGATAATTAAATGTTAATTCCTTAATTGATTTTCATGTCAATTGGACTTTTTAATTCATTGCCTCAAAGAAATCAAAGGTGTTTTTTTTTTCCCCCACTGGATTTCAGAATGGGAATTTAACTGTATCTTTAATTAAAAAGTCTCCTTTTTAAATGTAGTACAAATATATTTCATTTTGTACAATAAGAATATTTCTGAAAAGGTTATATATTGAACTTTATGATGCAGTTGGAGAGTTTTTTTAATATATAATCAAATGAAATGTAGCGCTACTAGGAATTCAAAAAAGCCCAGTGTTAAATCCATTTGTCAAGTGTAGGATCACTTTCTCAGTCATTTCACATCACTCACAATTTCATTATGCACTGTCATGTGTTCATCACTGGTTATGTCATTCATGTATGTAAATCTTACTTCCCTGTATGTAAGTTTAAGTTAGCTCTATGATGCATTAATGTTCATTAAAAACTACCAACAGTTTAAGTTACCTTTTTGTAAGTGACATTTTTAAGAATTTTCTCTAGTGCATTTCACCTGTATACACAAA